ATTTTTTGCATAGAAAAACAGAAAAATACGTCAAGACTTCCCAAACAACCCAATATTTCATATTTTAATAATCTTTAGATCAGGGCCAGCAGGTGGTGTGGTGATTAAGGCCCTGGACTCTCACATGGTTGAATGCATTTTGGGTTCCAGACTCAGTGGCTTGAAACAAGTCAGCGTGCCCAAAATCCAGGAAAAGAGTAGAGAAAGGATTGCAGCATAGTCATCCCCCACAAGGGGTGATTTTTCTTTTCCCTCACTATCTCTCTGGCGATCATACATGGCCTATGGCAGAAACCATAAAATCTTTAAATCATGGATTACCTATTTTTGTTAAGACGTTGCTATTGTCTTTCCCTTGGCCTGGTACTCTGGAGACTGGAGTGGTACTAAGAATAGAATCTGTGCTTACTGTATAACAGTTGGTCAAATACAGGTGTCCTTTGACATAGGACATAGGGATAATTACATTCCAGTCAAGCCTCTTGTAAAGCAAATTCCCATAGGGTGAACTCTTTTTTTTTGGCCATAGGGCCTGTGGGCTCTCTGGAGAGACAGTGAGAGGGAAAGTAAGAAATCACCTTCCCAGGGGATGGCCAAACCACAGTCCCTTTTTCATTCTTCTCTCAGGATTTTGGGCAGGCACACACCTGCACCAGGCATGATGTCCAAGCTGCTTGATCCAGGATTTGAACTGTGTTTGGCCATGTGAGAGTCCAGCACCTTAACCATTACATGAACTGCTGGCCCTGTGAACTCTACTTTTAATTTCCTTTATAGATGTAGATACATTTCTATAGAAAGGTTGAATTGAAAAGTTTTGCTGATAGTTTAAATTACTGTCTCCTTTGGCATAAATGCCACAAACAAAAATTACTTGGCAATACCCTGCCTCCCTAAAACTCTCAGAGGAGCCCTTCCTTTATCCTCCTTCATAGCTGCAATATTGAATAGGTGGTGCCAACACAGCATATATCAATTAGGTTGTTGGGAAAGTTGTGCATATTTTTTTGTGTTTTTTAATGCAAAAATGTGTCATAACTTTCCTGATAAGCTAATATAATATAGTCAACCTTAAAACTGCCTAAGGTCTGGGACCAGCAGATGGCGTAATTGTTATTTTGCTGAATTCCCATGTAGTCGAACACGATAGCTTAGAACTCATGCCAGGCATGCGTGCGTGTGTGCCCCAAATACTGAGAGGATAATGGAGAAGGGATTGTGGAGGGGTCATCCCCTCTGGGGGGTGATTTCTTGCTTTTTCTCTCACTGTCTCTCTGGTGAGTGCACATGCCCTATCATAAAAATCTCTCAAAAGAAAAAAAGAAAACTGCCTAGGGTCAAGCATAATTGTTTTCTACTTCCTATATTCTGTAAATCAGTTTTACTTAGAATAAGATGTGTAAACTGAGCAAAAAGAACTTGTTCATCCCAATTATATTTCTAATAACTATCTCATAAGGTGTATTTTTATGTGACACACATTAGATGCTATGTAAACTACTTATTTAGATAAACCTATCTATTGAATGCTAGACTTTGATAATAGTTTCTGATAGGTGACATTAACTTCGAATACAGGCAGGTTGTGAAAACTTTCAGTATGATAGTTACCAGCCTATTGGGGATAATTACCTGGTGGGTTTGCCAGGTGAATCATTGTCAAGGAAATTTGTTTTAGGGATTAAAAAGGTTGCCACCTTGGTTTAAACACATTTACATTTATTTGGCAGAAAAGAAACTAGACATTTCTGGTTCATAAAAACCTTTTCAAAAATCAGTAACTGTATCTTAAATAACTTAATTCAGACTCTCAATAGGTTAAGACAAATACCTGGGTCAGGTTGGTACTGTAGTAGTAGGGAAATAACTTGTTTTCCCAAAATTTAGACACTCTTTTTATTCAAAATGATTTCATTTGGGTGGGACAGAATGGGATTTAGTACCATTCAGGGTCCACCTAGAATCTCAGTTGTTATACATAAATGGAATCAGGAACACTTGATATAGCTGGTGTATTAAAACTCTGTTGATTTAATGTTGCAAATTTACAGGAATGAACAGAATATTTTGGGGGTGATTTTCAAGTGACACAGGACAAAAGAAAGAAAAATAAGACATAAGGTGAAGAAAAAGGGTAGTGGATAAGGAAGGAATGGGAGGAAATCAACAACTGTACTGTTGAATCAGTATGGGGAATATGAATTAAAGGAAAAATAAGCAGAGTCAAGGCTAAATATGGTACAGTGAAGAAAATGGAAGAAAGGAAACAATAGTATATCAGCAATATGAACAAAAATGGTAATGACCTGGTTTTTGTATTTTTGAGTGTGTCACCTTAGTCTAACAGCCCTTTAAGCATTTTCTGAGTAGGTGAGACAAGCTGGTGGACCTATAAGCTCTAACATAATACAGGGAAAATAACTGTTTTTTTAGTACTAGGAGAATACTGGCATTCCTGTCTATAGATTCCTTTCATTAA